TTTTTACGACAACTGTCTTGTCCACGGTGTCTTTTATTCGTTCCACTGGGGTTTAGCAAATGTGTTGATAAAGAGACGAAAATCTCTACTGTTACTAGTGTTAGTGTCTCAACATGGCTACGCTCGTGAAAGCAAAACAACGAACTCAAACGCGTCTTCGTTCAATGTTGTCAACTAATATCCGGATTAATTTTAGGCAAATTTTCCTCAATTGTCCGGAGAGATTTTCATAAAAATGTGAAAAACCCGGAATTCCGGGAAAATACGGAGGACTTTCATCTCTGAATGGTTGCCATCGCAATGTCCATTAAATCCCTGATAAGGACATTAACCTGCTCATCTCATTGTCATTTTCCAACGAAAACAATACATGAAACTACCAATTCATAATTTCATAGGTTTTGTAGTCAATTTAGAAAAATTTACTGACACATTTCTTTTCCTTTGCAATGCCTGAGGTCTTGACCATAAAGGCATTCGAATCCCGTAACATCTGAAGGGGTTGTAAACGCTATTCAGTACTCCAGCAACTATATTTTCTGGTTTGACAATGTTTCATAAAAAACAAATTTATGACGATAACAGCTGTTCATATTATTACACATTTCTATTGTTTGAAATTCGGTCATTTCTGTCCTCGGAATTCTTGATATTTACTTTTCAGAAAAGCTGCGTGTGCTTGCACGTATAATCTAACTGCTAAGGGTGCTGTGCATTCATTTGGACCATTGTAAAGATTTTTTATTTTCATTTTTTGACAGGAAATACTTGAGACATTCGAAGGGTGGACATCAGGGCGCAGGGTTGTAGACAATTTCATTACAATGAACATTATAAAGATAATGAGTGAAAAACACCGGAATGAAATTGTAGTAATAATAACAATAATAATAATAATAATAATAATAATAATAATAATGAAACATTTTTTCCATTACAATGATAATCAAGGCAAATCATAAAAATTTAATGAGTATCGACATTCGTTACATTCATATTTGTTTTGGTTTGATCGAGTGATTTGTCACTACCATTTCAACCATTTTTAACTCACCAGTGGTTCAATGGTGCTGAGGTCTTTAATCCTGTTGCCGCCTAAATTGAGATGAGTGAGATTGGGGCATTTCTCTACCAACACTTCCAAGCCTCCTGATATCTTGTTATAGCTGAGTTCAAGCTGTGCATGATTCAAACCATCAGAAGGACACACTCTTAACAGGTTATTCATGTAACCAAACCAGAAGAAGAAGAAGAAGAAGAAACCAACCTTCTTGAGCTTTTTTAGCTTCGGCAAGTTGGCGACTGTGGTCAGACCAACCCTCATTGTGCTCAGAAATACCAGCTCCTCAAATTCATCGGTTAGACCCTCGAGCTTGCCGTCATTGGAGCAACAGTTGTCAAGAACAAGCTCTTTGACCTACAGCGCAAACACATGATAGTCTGGTTATCATTTGCAAATCCAAAATGATCAATGATTAAAGCAAAACAAATAACATGAAGCTAAAGAAGAATCATCCTCACAAAAGATTTTTGGGACCCCCTATGCTGAATTAAGTGTTAATTAATAGCACAAAGCATATTTGAATAGCTCTAATCCAGTGATTCTCAGTACAGTACTGTATGAGTGCCACTGGTGGTATGCAGGCTCCTTCTGGTGGTATTCGAAAGATTCTAGTACAGTTCAGTTGTATTTAACATTTAAGTGCAATACGGGTACCTTGAAGCTTTAACATCAGTTTGTTCCTTCATTTTTATCATTTTTTTCTGAACTATTATTTGCAAAATATTTTAATCAAATCGTTATTTAAGTAGCCCCCCTTTTATATCATTACAGCGGCTTACAATATTTGATATCAATTTTAAGACAAAACCTCATTTTTGATGAACACTCAGGCCTACTATGCTATATACATATACTTGTCTTAAAGGGGAGTTTGCGATTCAAAAAATGCTTTTCATCATATATTTTATTCCGTCAGTGTGACCTGCCTGCAGAATATCATTAAAATGATTTTTGGGAAAAATCATCCCACCCTAGCCCCGTATTACGCCTGTAACATCATTTTAAAACATGTCACGCCACGAAAATACTAGCCTATTCGAGACTGTAGTTCTTTAAATGCGTACACACACACACACACACACACACACACACACACACACACACACACACACACACACACACAAATACATACATACATACATATATAATAGTGTTTGACGATGTTGGGATTACCAGTGAGGGCATGTTGCGCTTGGAATACTGAATGATTCGATGTTCCTTGTGGTTTGAGACAAATGAATCATCAATGTACACATCATACATACATATATATTACAGTATACACACACACACACACACACACACACGTATGTATATGTGCGTGTGTGTGTGTGTGTGTGTGTGTATACTGTAATATATATGTATGTATATATGTAGATGTGTGTGTGTGTGTGTGTGTGTGTGTGCGTGTGTGCGTGCGTGCGTGCGTGCGTGTCGCTGATGGTGTATGGGTACGATAGATTGTCTTCTGTGGGGACAGCATGGGATCGGTTCTCACTCAGTGACGGTATGAATGTGGCTATGAATGGTTGTTTGTCTCTATGCGACTGACTGGCAACCAGTTCAAATGTAGTCCGCCTTTCGCCCAAGGTCAGCTGGGATAGGCTCCAGCACCGTCCCGTAACCCTGTTAGGATAGGCGGTGTTGAAGGAAGGAAGGAAGATAGATAGATAGATAGATAGATAGATAGATAGATAGATAGATAGATAGATAGATAGATGGGCTAGGTCGGTAGGTCGATCGGTCGATCGCTATGTATATATAAACTGAATTATTTGTTTTTTACAATAGATGATGAGCCAACCAATTATTAAATGAGATGAATGATAAGAAAATGATAATTACATTCGAATTAATCAATTTCACCGAGAAAGTATCTCAATAAATGTAAACAACAACAAAAATCACAAAACTCTTGGTAGTGGTCAGATTAAAGGCTAGGCAGTTTTAAAGATGTGTGAAATAAATAGATCAATTTTAAAACAAGTCTACTTTGCTCACCCCTGCTTTCATGAAATGCTTTGCTTCGAGTCGTGTATTGAGTAGGGCACTGCATGATGATAACAACCTGATCAAATACAGTAAATACAGAAAGTACTGTACTGTGAGTTGAGCGGATGGATATTCACATGAGTGATGAGACCTTTGAATGTGACACCAACCAGCATCGAGAACCGGAACACAGACCTCTGTGATATTATTCCGCTACAGTTATTCTTCTCGCGATTATTTGACTCATTCATCATTATATAAATCATACATTTATTTACGTATCCTTATGAAAATCGGTGAACTTCATTTGTTATACGGAGCAGAGACGCGTGTGAACGACTGAGAGGCACGTTGGTCCGAAAAAATCGCAGCCAAACATTCTAGTCCACTGGGTCATTTGTCAGTAGGAGGGGCAAATCAGGAGGATTGCGCCGCAGCCACCTCGGCAAACGTTTCTTCCTGTTGTTTACGACAAACAAAAGCAGATAGCATCGATGGGCTCCTATAGGTTGCTATTTATAACCAGATATAAAACTGCTCGTCGTTTGAATCGAATAAAACCCGGCGTTCGACTGTTTTAAAATCGGAGCTTTGATGGGAGTAAAATGGCGGCGTGTGTCCTGCTTCTAGAAACCACCACGCGTCGATGTTAAAGCGAGGCGTTTTCTAAGGATGGCTACGACCCAGTGAAAATGGCACGACAGCTTCAAAGAAGTACCCAGCTGACACCAGCACTAATGCTTGCGAACGGAATGAGAATGGCTTAGTACTTTCTCTATGGTTGAAGGCGAGTACGAAAACGGTGTTTGCTAAGCAGAGTTGCCCTCCAATGTTTGCGGTGCACTACAGTACGACTCACCATCGCACTAGTACAGTAAGTGTTGAGCCGCGCTAACCAGGGGTGCTGGGTGGAGCAGGAGAGCGACACCTCAAGGTTTTCAGAATTCATTTGTCATTACTTTCGTTGCGACATGGCTCAAAAACCGTTATTTGATAAAAGGCAGCGCAAATGTATCGTGTCAATACTATACGAGCAAGAACGAATACGAGCGCTTCGCAGATCAAAAAGTTACACTTGTATGGCTTCTCGAGCCGCTTGCCTTGTTTATATGGCCCCACCACGGAGATGGAATTGACGCGCCGGCAGCACCTGTCACTTGTCAACATGTTCGCAGCATGACGTCCGCATCCCCCTCACACTTGACAAACTTTGCATCTCTCTCTCTTTCTCAAACACCTCAAGAACGCACCCGAAAGCGTTCACCCTCCTGTGAGAAGCCAAAGCGATGGTACGCATGCTAACTTACGTCTGACGGAGTACGGTTCCGCAGTTCCAGGTGAATTCTCTTCTTCATCTCCATTCTGGTTCAACGCGCCCTTTGATAGACACTTTTAATAATTAACACAAACGCTGCTGGCACCTCCAAACCAAGGCTGTTGCAGTTCATTCAAACTTGATCCGCTAAGGTGGGCGGGGTGCGGGTCTGAGATTGTCGTCACTGTCGGCCAATGAGAGCCGCTGAATTTAGGGCGAGCTGATCTACAAACGCACGAACCAATGGGATGCACCCCATCAAACTGGGTGGGGTTTGCTGTCGTTTCTGACTCTTTGATGTTCATTCTTTTACTCCAGTTACACTGAAAAATGACCCCGCAAGTGACAGTACTGCAAATAAATAGATCAAATAAAATACAGCAATCAACTAGTACATACACAAGAAACATTAAATACAGCAACAATGGGGATGAGATGCACACGACTGGTACTACGTCAAAAATAAACATTTTGTATGTTCTCAAAAAAATAAACAGGTGAGAATGGGCCTTCACCAAAATTGAGACCAGATCCTCCCAACTTTGAGGCTGATTTGCTAACAAGCGCACCCTACTGCCCTTAATAATTTATATTCTGCGTGTGTGTGTGTGTGTGTGTGTGTGTTAGGGTTATAATTCAAGTCACTATTTGATGAAAACGTGTCAGCTAAAAGTGTAAATTCTTTTTTTATAAATGAAACTCTCTGAAGTTCGGCAGCACATTGACCTCGTGGTTTGCCTCACAGTTGTGTGGTTCTCTTGAATTCGGTTTAAATCTTGCTTTCTTTCATATACGTTTTGAGGATTTTCTTCTTTTACTCCAACATTCCAGTCTACAAAGCGGGCAATCATTTCCAAGACCTACTCAAATATCTACACTCTCCCTTTATCGTTTGCCTATTTACACTTTTATTATTATAGGACAGCTACAGCGTCTTCTTCCTTCACGAGTGCGTCGTTTTGTGGTTCAATAAATTTGGTACACGTGGAGCCTCAACACGTTGTTCCTCGATGAACACAGCAGAGGTCGCAGTTTTTACTTTGCAGGGTGTCAGTTAATGCAGTGGTCCCCAACCTTTTTTGGCTTGTGTAGCCCGAACTCATTGGTGATACCCTGCATGAGTAAGCCCTGCGCGTTTATGATCCTCCAAAAGCAGAACGTAACACAACTGATTATGAAAAGAAACGTTTATTTCGTTAATCTGAAATTTCATTCTAAAGCATTTTTTTGTCGTTCCATTTATTTATTTATTTTCACAGTTTGGCCATAGATTTTGGTAGCCGTCACAGGCGAAGGAACACAGCAAATCTCTCAACCCATCCCCAACGCTGATCTATGATGTTGTAGCACCCATTCCATTGAGCAGGGGCCTCTGGTCCTGAGCCCACTGTTCATGTAATCTTCACCTCATAGCAAGGGAAAAAAATCCTCAATCCCATTGAAGGATATGGTGGTAGTCACTCCATTCCATCAGCATTCATCAAATACTCCAACGAATTCATATTACTGTATGCACGACTGTCTGAGTCTTATGTGTTGTGTTGTGTTATTTTGTTATTTTGACTTCAAGATGGTACCGCGAGAGTGGCTGCCTTTCCAACAGCTCCTATATTTTGTTCTTCTACTTCTTCCTTTCATAACTTTGCTGCTGTGAATTGGGAATTTCTCCATTGCGAGACTAATAAAGGATTTCTTATGTTCTTGAGATATCAATTTTGACAATTGCAGACTTTTGCATATGATTACTTACACAATTAAATCATGCTGACATGTTTTGGAAAGCACACCGTTAGACTGATAATCAACTAATAAGTTTAGATCAGCCAAGATTTTTTTAAGTACAGGAGGACAATGCAAATTTTGCTCAGGGAGGCCTTTGAACGCTGAACCTCGCAACAATGAGGCAAATGTTCGAACCACTTAAACACCTAAATGCCCTCAGTATTTATTTGTGTAAAATTAAAATATGACAGGGCCTTAATATTTCCATTCAGGTCACTGTATCATAAGGAAACTGCACATTTACAAAAAAGTTCTCTCCCACATTCACCCAAAATAAGCATGTCAGGTCAACCAAAGATTCAAATTCCCCATAGGTGTGAATGGTTGTTTGTCCATATGTGCCCTGCGATTGACAGGCGACCAATCCAAGGTGTACAACACCTCTCAGCCTTAAGCCAGCTGGTTTAGACCCAAGTGAACCAAATGAGGACAAGGAATAAAGAAAATGCATGTGTGTCCTAAAAGCATGCACTGTGGCATTCAGTGATAATGTACCACATATAGTTTGGGTCACAGGTGAGTAATGCTTTTATTACCCTGTTTACACTCACTTGAACAATAATTGAACAAAGTATTATAGTTGACTGGACTGATTTCAAAACAAGTAATTAATTCATTTGTTTTGTACATGTACTGGTAACAATGCGATGAGATGATTAAACATTTTCATGGATTCACAGTCATAAACGGCCCTCTGAGGGAAGACATAACTCCATGACAAAATTGAGTTTCACACCCCTGTTGTACGGCATCCTTGACTAAACTAACTTAAAAGTGCCTTTAAATAAAATATAAGAAAAAATATTATTATAATTATTATTGAAGATTAGATAAAATTATTCAACACTTACACCAGGCTGTATCTGCTCCAGCCTCCCCATGAACCTGAACAGGAAGTGGATATAGAAAGTGAGTGGGTGGGTGGGTGTCCTTGGGCCATTTTGAAGACCACTGATCACAGCCAGAGGCACATCAAAAGTATGCATTTTGTTCTGTTCTTTGTTTTTTTCTTTAATTGAAATACATACATTTGGTCTGTCCTCAAGTTGCTATGAATTGCACTTCATATTCTATCATCCCGAGTACATCTGGCCTTGAGTTTTGTGTCAACAAAGCACTGCAGTGCTCAGGAGGCTCTCTTTTTATTTGGATTAAAGGGCAAATTTATTGAGTCTGACAGACATTACTTGAACTTCTTACCACACTGTAATTGTCCATGTAACCTCATTAGGGAAATCTGTATACGAGTATGGTTATTATCAGAAGACCTACATGTGACAACACAAAGGACATTTAAGCAGCAAAAATAACCCCATACCGCAGTTTGTTCATAATTCTTAATGTAAAATTGCAGCTGTTGTGAAAGCAGTTGAACTGAGAATAATTGTGGTTTGTACATTGCCTCACAGTCAAGTGGTCCAAGGTTTGAATCTCGACTCAGGCCCTCGTATGCGGAGTCGGCTTAATCTCCCCATGCTTGCCTGCCTTTTCTATGGGGACTTTCCTGCCTCCCACATTCCAAAAACATGCATGTTAGACTCTTAGTTGTTCAAAGGTATGAATGTAAGTAATGGTTATTTGTCTATACATGCACTGCAATTGGCTGGCGACCAGGGCAGCGTGTGCATCCAAAGTCAGATGCAAGACGCTCCCGTTCACCTATGGCCCTCATGAGGATTAGCGGTGCAGAAAATGGATGGTTGTTTGAGGAAGAACTCATATGAAGACCACAATTTCTTAGGCTGGGCTGGGGGGGTGTTGCTGACACTAGCAGTTAAGCGTTGAAAATGTAGCTTTATCTTGTGTACATCCATCAATCATTTTTTCACAACCACTTGTTCTCATTAGGGTCACAGGTGTTCTGGAGCTGACCCCTTATGGAAAGAAGTGGGGTACAACCTGGACTGGGCGTCATACAGACAATCAGTCACACTCACATTTACACCAATGGGCAATTTAGAGTCTTCAATCAAGTCATGTAATATCCATGTTTTTAGAAAGGAAGGTGTAGCTGTCACAACTTACATACTGTATAGTTAGAGAAAATAGCAACAAATAGGTCTGATTGAAACGTATTCAAATGTGATCAAAATCACCTGTCTAATGAAGCCGCACCAATGAACAATGACTGAATCCATTCCAAAAGTATTCCATCTTGCATTCTTTTGAATCAAGATTTCACAGAACTGCAGAAGCATTCTGTATGCACTTGTTGGAAATCGATTGTACCACAAGAGGGTGATATGAATCAAGACACATGCTCTACGCTACTGGATCGAAATGTGATCAGGCTATGGAAGGAATACAAACAAAACTGAGTAAAATCACAAAAATCACAAAGGTGCCTTTTTGCAGATAACGTGTTTTAGGGTATGCCCGTGTTGTTTGACCCAAAAATAGCGCTAATCTCAGTATTAGACAAAGTGATTTCCACTTATGGAAACATGAAACTGTTTACCTTTTCCATTCATTGTTTAACTGGATTTTTTCCCCCCGCGACCCTTGTGAGGATAAGTGGAACAGAAAATGAATGAATGGATGAACTTGATTTTTAAAGGCACTTTGACAAAATCATTGTGGAAATGTCATCCACCCTGAGCCATTCCATCAGGAAACTAGCCATGGATTTATTGATGTCGGATAAATGGAGTAGAAAAATCCCTCTTGCGTGTTGCACAAACGTTTAGTGAAATATCCACATTCTTTTCTCAAGAATTCACCCGCCAGGAAAATTAAACCAATGTGCATGTGCAAGAGCGATGGCAGCTCTGATAAAATATGCAGTGAACCATTATCATCTGAAGACATTCATTATTCATCATAATTGATTTTGTCAGGTTGGAGACAGTTCCTTGTAATGCAACACTCATCCAGGACAGAAGGACGATCAACACACAGTAGTCTCCTCCCTCCATCATGTATCCCCGACAACTGCTTCCTGATCGCTCGGTTTCTTTAAATATCAACCTGAAGCTTTTTAAACCAATGAATGAATTGTCTGCTTTTGAGTGCTAGGTACAAATGTCCATCCATCCATCCATCCATCCATTTTCTGATCCGCTTATCCTCACATGGGTCGCGCGGCATGCTGGAGCCTATCCCTGCTGTCTTCGGGCAGTAGGCGGGGGACACCCTGAACTGGTTGCCAGGCAATTGCAGGGCACACACAGACGAACAACCATCCGCGCTCACACTCCCACCTCGGGACAATTTAGAGTAGGGGTCCCCAACCGCTGGTCCGCGGACCGGTACTGGTCCGCAGGGCATTTGGTACCGGGCCGCACAGAAAGAACTTGCCTTAATTCCGTTTCATTTATTTCGGAATACGAAAGATGTTTTATTTTGAAAAATTACCGGATTCTCCGTTACATCCGTCTGTGTCAAGTTTGACACACGTCAAGCCATGCTTCTCCGTCACGTGACCGATTACGCTAAAAACAAAACGCCAGAGCTCGCAAAATGAGTAAAAAAAACTGCTGGAGATCGCAAATTACGGCGGCCTTAAAAGTATGTTCGAGACAACTGGATTGAAGTTATGGCTGAATACTCTGAGATCGCCACAATAGCACTGTTGCTATTTCCGACATCCTACCTGTGTGAGGTGGGGGGGGGGGGGGGGGGTTTCTGCAGCAACGGCGACTATAACAAAA